ACACACACACACACACACACACACACACACACACACACACACACACAAAAGAATAGTAAGAATGTGAAGAGGGAAAAGGAATGCAGAGCAGAGCTCACACACGTAATTCTTGCACTGGGAAGGCTGAAGCGGGACTGCCATGGGCTTGGGGCCTGCCTGGGTTACAAAGTACAACCTTATCTCAAACAAAAGTCAGCCAGATGAGCATTGGAATTTTCTTTTCTCTGCTTCTTGATCCACATGATGTGAGCAAGCAGCCTCCAGCCTTCATGATGGACTACATTCTCTCAACTAATAGACAAAACAAAAGCTTCCTCCCTCAGGTTACTTCAAGAATTGGAAAGTCACTAACACACTGGACGTTCTGGTGTTGAAGTCTTGAGGAAGATGCCCAAAGGCTGCTCATTCCAGTTCAGTCTTTGTTCCCACCCTAAGGGAACATACTGTGCCAATAACCGGAGATAACACTTTGACATTTCTACAGCCTTACAAAAAAATTCTTTTTGAACAAGTAGCTGTGGGAAATTGGAAGCCACTTTTTAGTTACACCCCCAATTCCACCCCCACACTTCACAGTTTGGTTTACAACAGACAGAAGTATCCCCGAAAATGGGCAAGCTGCAAGGTGTTATGCCACATTTCTAAAGGCGGCTTTCTAAGGGAGAAGTATGGTATATTTCAAGCTATCCCCAGCTCAAGAAAATGGACATATTACCTTGAGGGCAAAAAACTTAATAAACTTGTCGAGGTCCTTTCTGTCCTGGGAACTGAGATCAGTTTCCATTGCCTACTGGAACCTGTAATAGAACACAAAAGTGATGACAAATGTGACTAACCTGTTTAAAAACAGATCACTACGTCAGAGCACAGACGGGAGCCTACTAGCTGTACACTAGTCTTGTGGGAGTGGGAGAAGAGATTTCCTTCAAAGATACCAAAGGAGAAAACATTAAAATACTATCACTTGAGGAAACTAATCCCACACAAACAACCATATCTAGGAACCTACGAAATATATGAGGTCAATTTAACTCATTCTGAAGTTTTGAATATGATGGAGGGGAGGGGCCAAACTCCACTGCTAGTTCCCACCTGATATCTGCTCTGTTGTTTGCTGCTATGCATGCCAGGCTGAGTGGCCTGTGGGCTTCTGGAGGCTTATCTCTACCTTCCATCTTGCCATAGGAACACTGGGCTGGAACACATGACTATGCCTGGCTTTATGTGAGTTCTAGGGATTCAAACTCAAGTCCTCAAACTTGTGCAACAAATACTTTACCCAATGAGCCACCACCCAAGCCAGATTTTGAAACTTTGAACTTTAAATAGAATTTATCTACTTTTAATGAGAAACAGTTGTTAACACAAATGAGTTCATCTATATTACTTCAAAAGACCACCAATCACTCTCACTTTTGAAGGCTCCAGATCTGTTGGAGAAGCTAGTGACATGAAAAGCTATCTTCAGAATAAAGAACTCATATGGGAACACTTTGGTCTCAAGGAAGATCACAAATTTGCAAAGCACATCGGTGTCCACCCTCTCATCCAACCTAGAGTGAAGAGGTAAGAACTGGTTTGAAATGACCAGATAATAAGGAATAAAACATTTAGGAAAAGAAGTATATGAATGTCATGTTAGTAATGGAGTAAAAGATGTTTGGAAATATGAAGTATCCATTTTCTTTTCTTTTCCAAGACAGGCAGACATTTTGCTTCCTGAGACTTGCTTCTGAAACTTCATGCCCAACGTTATTCTAGTAATTAAGGGACTAACAAGGCTTATAAGAACAATCATCCACAGGGCTAGAGAGATAGCTCAAAGGTTAAGAGCACTTGCTGGATAAGAATTCGGATCTCAGTACCACGTCAGTTCACAGATGCCTGTGTCTCTGGCTCCAAATGATAAGCAGCCCTTTTCTGTCTTCCATGGGTACCTCACCAGACAGAGGTACATTCATATAAATTAAAAACAACACTGTCAGGCTGGAGAGATGGCTTAAGAGCACTTGGGAGGCAGAGGCAGGTGGATTTCTGAGTTCGAGGCCAACCTGGTCTACAAGTGAGTTCCAGGACAGCCAGGGCTACACAGAGAACCCGTGTCTCGAAAAACCAAAAAACAAAGAGTACTGGTTGCTCTTCCAGAGGACCTCGGTTCAATTCCCAGAACCCACATGGCAGCTCACAAACTGTAACTCCAATTCCAGGGGATTTGACACTCTCAATACAGATACATGCAGGCAAAACCTAATGTACATAAAATAAAATTTAAAAATTAAAAAAAAAAAACCCACCGTAGAATCCCATAAATGTTGGATAGGTATGGCAGCCTATCTAATCCCAGTACTTGGATCCCAGAACAGGCTGGCTAGCTGAACTAGCCAAATCAATGAGCACTGAGTTCAAGTTAGAGACCCTGTCTCAATATATAAGGAGAATAGCAACTGAGGAAGATACCTGATATCAAACTCTGTCCTCCTCATGCACCTGTACATACACATATATGTACATACATGTACTCCCACACATGCATAAAAACATGCAAAAAGGGTGGGGGAAGGGAAATGCACTCAATAGGCAAAGAAGCTAAAAGTCGAGTATGGTAACATGCACCTGCACCGCCAGCACTTGGGAGACAGAGGCAGGAGGATTGTTTTGAGGCTTATTTGTGTACTCATCTATCTCAAAATTAGAGTGAAAGGGGGACAAGGCGTACAGCTTAGTAGATGACTTACCTATCATGCAGGAAGCCCTAGATTCAACACCTAGTACTCAAACAATAGCAAAACAAAACTGAAGAAGTCAAACCGTTCTTGTTTGCAGAACAAGTTTACAAGTTAAATAAATAAATAAATAGGGCTGGAGAGATGATTCAGTAGTTAAGAGTACTGACTACTCTTCCAGAGGTCCTGAGTTCCATTCCCAGCAACTACATAGTGACTCACAACCATCTGATGACCTCTTCTGGTGTGTCTGAAGACAGCTACAGTGTACTCATTAAAATAAATACATCTTAGAAAGAAAGAAAGAAAGAAAGAAAGGAAGAAAGAAAGAAAGAAAGAAAGAAAGAAAGAAAGAAAGAAAGAAAATTTGGATTTGATGGCAAATGCCTTTAGTCCCTGCATTGTGGAGACAGAGACAGGCAGATCTCTATGAATTCAAGATCACCATGGTACACATAGGAGTTCCAGGATAGCTAGGGCTCTGTTGAGAGACACTGTCTTAAAAAAAACAAAAACAAATAAATAAATACTCTAAATATTCTAACAAATAAACCATTTTCTAACAAAGAAATCATTACATTTAAAAATTGAATCCAGTAAAATTTCAGGATGATACATCAAAATACAAAAATTAGTACATTTTCATATACCAAGGGTAAACTATGTAAATAAAAAAAGTGAAAAAAATCCCTACTATACAGCTACAAAGACTATTTATAAATTAATTTAATCAAAGTAGTAAAAGACCTTAGCACTGAAGACTACAAAACAATCAAAAAAGACACAAGATATACTGTGTTCACAGAATAGAATTACTAATCTTAAAAATGTGATCTATAGGGTCAGCCCAATTCCTATCAAAATTCTAATGACATTGATCACAGAAATAGAAAGAAAAAAAATCCAACAACCCTAAACCATGTAGAGAATCAGAAAAACTCCCTAAAGATTCACAGCAATCTTGAACAAAAAGAATAAAGCCAGAAATTACTGTGCCATCTAACTTCAAAATACACAAAGAATGACCAAAACAGCAGGGGACTGGCATAAATACAGACAGACCAAAGGGACACAATAGGAAGCTCAGAAATATACCCATACATTTACTGTCAAAAGACTTTGACTAAGGTGCAAAAAGTACTGAAAAGAAAAAGACAGTCTTTTCAGTGAACAGTGTTGGGAAAATTGGATGTTCATATATAGAACTAAACCAGAAGCTTATGTATCATTATATTTTAAAAAATCAATTCAAAATGGGCTGAAGACCTAATGTTTAAGACTTGAAACCAGAAAAGTGCTAGAAGAAGACAGAAAAAATCCATGATATTGGTCTGGGCAATGATATTTATGGATATGACTTCAAGCGCATGGGCTGGAAACAAAAGTACAGATCTTGTGTGTGTCCGTCTGTCTGTCTATCTTGAGGGCTTTTTGTGTATAAACACTCTTTTTTGCTCAGCTCATCAGAACATTTATTTCCTAACATGAACTGCTGTCCAATTTTAGGATCCAAAGAAAACCAATCTAGAACTGTGAATGACTGTAATGTCCTTTAACAGGGCTCACCACCCCAAGGTCCCAAAGCAATACAGAAATAAATGGGAAATAAAAATGCACAGCAGGATTACACTGACCTTACAGTGATCTTATTCTTCACACTCAAGGAGAGTTATTATACTCTTGCCACAAGAACTACCAGTATACACATTATGTGTTGTGGCTTTCTGTACAACTGGCAGCATCAAAAGAATTGGGTAGCTACAATTATGGAAGCCCAAAGATGCTGATCTCCCACAGGGAAAAAGCTATCTTCCAGGCAGCCATGTCTGCTGGTCTGTACACCTGCTCATTTGAATACTCAATTTGCCTTTGCAATATAAATAGTAGCTTTACTTCTTCTTTTGCTCTTTTTGAGTAATCTAAGAATACAAAGGGAAACTTGGTGTGAACATTTAGAGATCTACAGGGCTGGGGAGATTGCTCAGAGGGCAAACGTGAGGACTTGAGTTTAAAGTCCAAGAACTACCATCTATGGGTGGTAGCATTTAATCCCAGTGGCCGTACAGCAAGATGGGAGGCAGAGACAGGAGCATCCCTGGAAAACCAAGGGCTAAGCAGCCTGAGGAATGCAGCTGTGAAGGAGAAACTGTCTCAAACAAGGTGGAAGTTGAAGACTGACACACAAGATTGTTTTCTGATCTTCCCACATGTGCCAGTCAAACACACCCACACTCTTATACACAGAATAAACAAAAATAAGATCCACAACTGAACATTTTTCCCCTGTCCTTTACCATATTAAGTGCTGTTGTGGAGAATCTCTTTGCTGAGACTTCTTTCTCACAGTGATCATAGTAAAGCAGCCTGTATTTCTGGGCTAGTTAACTTTGCTGCTGCAAGCTTAGGTTATAAAGCTCAAGCAGACCACTGGGGACTAATTACAGTAAAGCATTGTCATCAGTCTGGGCCAACTTCTGCAGGGTGACTTCTAGTTATCCCCATGCGATGTCAGCAGTGAAAATGGATGGCTGATTCTGAAGAGGTAATGGGTCTTGCTGGCACCTTCAGGACAGAACTTAAGTCACTGAAACTGGCAAGCAGTGATCCTGTGTCAAGTCCAGGATGGGAGACACAAGAGAGAGAACTAGTTCTATTAGTTTGGACAAGGTTTTCTCGGGACTTTCTGAGAAGAAAGCTATGTAAAAGTAATGAAGATGTTTCCTTTCCTAAAATAGGGCACTTAGGGAAACTAAACCATTAGTACATGGCAGACTGCAACCACTCCACTATAAACTCTATACACTCCTTCCTCTAACAAGGTCCCCTCTTTTGATAGTACTTGTTGAGCAGATACTTTTGTCATCCTGGTTATGAGTACCCTCCTAACCTTGCTCCTCTCCAAATGCACTATGCAACTCTGAGTCCTCTTAAGATGGAGTTCTGAGGTAGCCCCTACTGTCTTCTCAAAATTATTGGCCTTTAAATAAATCTGATTCCTTCCTATCAATTCCTGTTACTTGCCCTATTCTATAGCCATACAACCCTGATGGTGCCTGAGTCTAGTTCTCTTCTCC